TTTAAAATTGTTGCTTTGTAAACCGATTTTGTTTTGAATGAATTAAATTTACACGTTATTGTCTTCTTTTTCTTTGGTTCAGGTTTTTGCACAAACGGAGTGATGGCAACAAGTAGGACGAGGTTGGGTGATGCTCGGGTGACTCTACTATTGTCTGCAATGACATTGTTTATTAAAGGAGATTTTTTTTGTGAATTTAGGCAAGTTTTTTTGTGGGTTTCCTCTTTGTAAAGGGATCTTTTGTAGTGGATTTCTATATTTTTGTAGTGATTTTTGATGAACTTGTAGTGGATTTCAGATAAAATATACCTGCTGCGAGCGCGAGGAATAGATGAGGGGGTGTCGATGCGCTTACGGTAAATAGTGGTTTTAGTAAATAGTGGTTTTCGACATTAAATAGTGGATTACGTTAGAGGGATGGGGTTGACAACGCGTACAGTGAATAGTGGATTTCAAATTTAGACAGTGAATAATTGATTTCAAATTTAGACAGTGAATAGTGGATAGTGGTTTTAGTAAATAGTGGTTTTCGAATTCTTACGCGATATTTATGTTAGAGGGATGGGGTTGACAACACGTACAGTGAATAGTGGATTTCAAATTTAGACATTGGATAGTGGATTTCAAATTCAGGCACTGAACAGTAGATTACTGAACAGTAGATTACGTTAATTTTTTTTAGATAGTAAATGTTCATAAATTTTGATGTGTACCGGAATAGTGGATTTTAAACTTAGACAGTGAATAGTGAATTACGTTAATTTTACAATGGATTACGACAATTTAACAGTGAATTTTACGTTATTTTTTTAATATTTTTTTTTATAATGAATGTCGATAAATTTTGACAAATGTGTAGTGAATTTGATTTTTTTGGTAAACCTGCTGGAAACAAAATGATTGTTTTAAAAACTAAATTTTTCAATAAGTTTACAGTGAATTTTCGTAATAGAATGTTAATTATTTAGTGGTTTTCGATAAGCTTATAATGAATTTTCGAATTCGTAATACATAATATTAATTACTTAGTGGTTTTCGATAAGCTTATAATGGATTTTCGTTATGAACTACGTTAATACTTTGTGGTTTTCGATAAATTTATAATGAATTTTTGTAATGGAATACATTAATTACATAGTGGTTTTCGTTGATTACATAGTGGTTTTCGATAAATTTATAGTGAATTTCAATTTGTTAAAAACTTTGTTTTTTAAATCGAAATGTAAAAAGAGAATTTAAAAAAAGGGCGAATAGCAAGCCCATGACACGGGACTTAAATGCACACAGGTCCACAGAAAAAACAGTATCTCAATTAAACCCATCCACATGTTTTTAGTAAAAAATACCCTACATAATATAATTCTTATCAATTCCATCCATTATGCTCTAACTTAATATTACACATTGACCCCAAATTTAAACAAATATATCACATTAAACCCCCAAATTTTTTTTTTCAGAAAATAATTTTTTTTCTGAATTTTTTTTTTCAGGCCAGATTCCGGCGTTGACTTATTTTTTTATTTTATTTTATTTTTTCGAAAACTTTTTTTTTCTTTGAAAACTTTTTTTTTTCTGATTTTTTTTCCGGCCGGTCAACCACCGTTGACCGCCGGTCTCCGCGTTGACTTTTTTTTTCGATTTTTTTTTTCTTAGAAAAAAATATTTTAATTAATATTACTGTCTTGGCTACTAAATTACTGTCTCAGACAGTAATATTACTAAAATTATTTTCAATTTCAATGGAGTTTCAAAAATTATTCACACAATATTTTCAAAAATAACAAGAGAACTTGGAAATCTATAAATTGCCTAAAATCTACAACCTATTGTTTACCACTTAACATAGCCAATTTTATTAGGATTTGAAACCAAAGAAAAAAAAATTAGGGCAAGAAAGATTACCTTTTTGTGGTTGTTGAGGGCTAGCTAGAGAGGAGGAAGTTACAAAGGCCTAGTTCCAGATGAATGAGGTGGCGGCGCCGCCGTATAGAGCTGGCCGGATATTGACAAAACAACGAGGATGGCGGAGAGCGGGGGGCGGACGACGGAGGGGGAGGCGCAGGCCGGACGACGGAGGCGGAGAGAGAGGGCAGAGGGCGGACGGAGGCGGAGGCGGAGGCGGAGGCGGAGGCGGAGGCGGAGGGGGAAACTTCGGCGGAGGGTGGGCTTTGAGAGATTGAAAGAGAGAGATTGAGAGAAACGAAGAAGAAACGCGTTAGAGAAGTGGAGAAATAGAATTAGAGTTTGTTTTTTAATTAAAACTTTGGGGGCGATTTATACAAAATCGTAGCAAACTGAAACGAAAACGAATCTCTTTGCGACGTTTTATAGGTTTTCGTAGCAAATTTAAAAAAAAAAAAAAAAAAAAAAAAAAAAAAAAAAAAAACCTAAATAGACTTGCGACGTTTTCATAGGGACCGTCGCTACAAAAGGGGGAAATTTTTTCACTAATTATTGTGGCGACGATTAATACACTATAGTCGCAAAAAATAATTAGAATTTAAAAAAAAAGGTTTAACATGCGACGTTTCTTACAATTTCGTCGCTAAGAATTAATACTTTCACTTTATAACGCTACGTTTATAATTTTCGTCGCCAACCCAATTAAATATTTTTTTTTCACAATTACTCTAGCGACGTATACATAATATTCGTCGCTAAGGTACAAATATTAAATTACAAAATATATTATTCGTGCGTCGTTTATATAAAAACGTCGCTACGAGAGGACTTTTTATTTTTTATTTTTCGTTTGCGACGTTTTTGTAATTATAGTCGCTAGTTAGCGACGATTAGTATTTTCGTCGCGAGAGTAAACACCAAAATCATAATTTCTAACATCTTGCGACGTTTTTTAATTTTAATCGTCGCAAGGCTGCGACGATTCATGAATCGTCGCCAACAAAAACGTCGCCAGTGAGCTGTTTTGGCCTAGTGTTGGGTGAGTGGATAATGGCAGTGGTGTGAAAAGGAGGGAGGACGGCGGCGTCGCTGGTGTAAATTTCAAAAGAGAGCGGCGGCACTGGTGTAACCTCGAAAGAGAGCGGCGGCGGTTTACAGATCTGCAAAGAAGGAAAAAGAAAAAAGGGAACATAAATTTTGAGAGAGAGAGAGAGAGAGAGAGAGAGAGAGAGAGAGAGAGTGAGTGTGATTTAACGTGAGAGAGAGAGTGTGTGAACGTGAGAGTGATACAAAGAGTGAGGAATAAAATTAAAACCCTAACACATAAGGGCACTGTAGTCTTATCATATCTGGTAAGGGGGTCTCACTAATTTAGATTAGGATTTGAGTTATGAAAAAAAAATTAAAATCAATTGAGTTTAATTCAAAATATTTTTTAAACGAGGGGGTATTGCATATTTCTACATTTTAAAAATGAGAAATCTAGACCAAATGTTGGCCCATTAGTATAATATTTTTTTCTTTTTCAAAATTTGTCTAGTTTAGGAAATGTATGACAGCATTCAATTGATAAACCGTTTAGTAACCAATTGGTGCATGATGAGCAATGTTGTTAGAACCAGATTGGACAGGCCAGTTGGACTAGTTTGAAAACAAATCATAGGTCCATCATCACTAAACTGGTGTCTATAACTCTTTTACATTAGACGTGAAACACTAATCGAGTTTTTAACTTTTACAATCACTGTTTGTAATATTTTTGTTCCATAAATACGGCATGGTTAAAATATTTACACTTAGAGCAACTCCAATGCTAAACATCAAAATTGGATTATCAAATACTCATTTGATAATTAAGATAATATTTTAATATTTATTTACAATTTATCTACTCCAACCATGGTTATCTAAATCAATAATCAATTGGAAGTTTTTTAGTGGTTTTATTTGTAATTGCCACGTGTCATTTTGTGATTGGGTGTTTATGTAGTTATTTTTTTGATAACTCAATTTCCGGGATGTATTTTTACATTCAAAGAGGTAGAATATCAAAATACTTACCCACTTTGATATTCCCATTGGAGTGGAAAATTTTAATTTTGGAATATCAAAGAGGTGGTTTATGGATTTGATAATCCATTTGATACTCTCATTGGAGTTGCTCTTAGTTTGTTTGTGCTAGTAGCGTATTTAACGTTTCTTACTGGCCAATTTACTGAAAAATTAACTTAAATAGAAAGAGTTGAGTCATAAGTGCTTAATAAATTATAGCTTAAACCTACTGATTTTAAGAGAAGCAAACACCAAAAGTTGTTTTTACAAACACCAAAAAACAGATTATATTATAAAAAAAAAAAAAAAGCTCATAATCTTAAAACTTTTGCAAATACCACCTTAGTCTTGTAGCCCCTACGTTGAGGCTCCTCAGTTGAATTTGTGTTTACAGTTAATAAAATGTAAGATTATTCGGAAAATTTATTTTCTAAAATTGTGTAAATAAAAATTTTGTTTTCTTGAATAAATATATTTCACTAATCAATGTTACACAACGACGGACCAACTACACATGTCATAAAAGAAGAAAAAACCCACCACTATGAATAATCATCATCTTATAAATAAAAATTGTTATACTGAAATAGATTTGTAGTAATAACTAATAATTTATTTAATGGGGTTAATTAAATAAAATAGTAAATTAGTCAGTAGTAGTCAAAAAAGCCCCTAGTGGGGAAGAGCGCCCTCTTACTCAGAGCCCCCTTATTATTATCATCAACAATTAATTAATTAATTTTTATTAGCACCTAAAAAGTGCACTGCAAACTCAAAAAAAACCTTGCAACTAATCAAAGCAACGTTTGTTTGTTTATTTTAAAAAAACAATTTGAAAGCAACGTCTCATTTGCCACGTGGCACGTGCCCCACACAGGTGACCGTTGTGCCCAAAGTCATCTTTTCTTTCTTTTGTTTCCGCAATTGCAACGATCCAACGGCAATCCTTCACTAGCCGTTTGATTTGAAAATAGAAAAATAATAATAAAATAATAAATAATCAAAAAAAAAAAAGAAAACGAAAATAGAAATAGAATAAAAACAGCTCACAGTTTTGTCTGCACAAATACCCCTCAAATTTTTCTGCTCATTCCACCATTGTTAATAAAGTCTCCCTTTTTCCTTCTTCTACATGCCGGAGCCGTTTTCTTGGTGGGTCTGGTGAAGAGAGAAAGAGAGAGAGAGTTTTAGAGAGAGAAAGTATTTTAGAGAGACAGAGTTTTTTTCTTTCAGACAAAAATGGTTATATCAGATGAGAACAATTCTGTTCAGATTAAACCCACAAATGTACAAGGTAAACAAACTACTTGTGATTAAAAATAAATTATTTTTATTTTTATTTTTATTAATTCCTTTTTCTTTTTTTGAAAAATAAAAGAAATGAATGGGAGGAAGTTTGGAGCTGAGATCAGAACAAACAGAAGGGCACTAACTGCAATTAATCACAATTTAAGAGGCCCTAATAATCCCTACCCTTGTCTTGTTAACAAGAGAGATTATCCAGAGTACGCAAATCTTGATTTCATATTTATTTTAATTATTAATATTTTCTTGCAGGAAGAAACTTACATTTTTTTTCTTTTTTATTACAATGTGGATGTTTTCTCAGGTCAAATGGGATTTGTGACAACAATCTTCCATTACAATCACATAGACCAATCACAAGGTTGGGGTTTATTTTTTATTTTTCAAAATTTATTTTCCTGCATAAGAATTAAAATGTTCTTGTATTTCTGATGCAATTTTCTTGATTTTTATTTTTAAAGGAAATACGCCGCCCAAATCGCCGGCTCCCGACATAACTTTCCGGAGGTAATAAATAATTTAAATTTTTATCTAACCCTCTTCAAGAATCCTTTGTTAGATTAATTTTATATTTAAATTTTTTAAATTTTTGAAAAATAATTAGGAAACAAAGAAACCAAAGACATCTTCATCAACAAATGAGTTTAGTGTGTGGGAAGATATTCCTCTTACAGATTCAGAAAAAGACCATCCTGTCCCTATGTCGTTGGAACATTCCGATTTCGAAATTAGTGACAAAAATCAAATGGTATGTGAGTTGTGACTTGTGACCCCTTTTTTTTTGTGTGATTTTATATTATTTTTATTACAAAATTTAGTAATAATCTTATATATATAGGAGGAGGTTGAAATGGAAGACATATTCGAAGAGAGCGTTGTCGACATCGACGGTTGCGATGCAAAGGATCCGCTTGCCGTTGTCGAATATGTCGATGATTTATTTGCTTATTACAAGAAAATGGAGGTAATTAATCGTTACTCGATTCTTCGTAAATATCATAAATTATTGTGGTGTTATTTATGAATTACATTCGATAATCAAACGAACTGTCTAATTAAAATCTAGGCATAGTAAATGTTCGAATTCGGAACTTAATAGGAAACCGTTATCTGATTATGGTAAAGGTTCAATGTCGTAGATTCTACGAATAAATAATTTGAATTTGGTTCAATTTGAATTTTTAATAATTTGAATTTATTATTGTTCGAAACAGAGTTCGAGCTGCGTTTCACCGGAATATATGGCACAGCAATCCGACATTAACGAACGAATGAGGGCAATTCTCATTGACTGGCTCATCGAGGTAAAAAAAAAAAAAAAAATTTATGTTTATGGTTTATATATGGTCACAATATAGATTTAATTAATTTATTTATTATTAATGGCGATAATCGACAGGTGCACCACAAATTCGAACTTCGTGAAGAGACGTTGTTTCTAACAGTAAATATAATCGATCGATTCTTGGCAAAGCAATCTGTGGTTCGAAAAAAGCTGCAGCTTGTGGGACTTGTTGCCATGCTTTTGGCATGCAAATACGAAGAAGTTTCGGTTCCCGTGGTCGATGATTTGGTTTTCATTTCGGACAAAGCTTATTCGAGAAAAGAAGTACTCGAAATGGTAACAATTATTAATTTAAAAAAAATCGCAATAAATTAATTTCGTCTTTGCAATTTTTAATCTTAATTTTTTTTTCGACTACAGGAGAAATTGATGCTTAACTCATTGCAATTTAATATGTCTGTTCCGACTCCTTATGTTTTCATGAGACGATTCCTCAAAGCCGCTCAATCGGATCGAAAGGTTGTCGATCGAATTTAATTTTAATTACCATTTTATCATATATTAATTTATTTATATATATATTAATATTTTTTTTGGGGCCATATAAAAAAAAAAAAAAACAGCTCGAGCTACTTTCGTTCTTCTTGATCGAGCTTTGTCTAGTGGAATTCGAAATGCTGAAATACCCACCGTCTTATCTCGCTGCCGTTGCTATATACACCGCACAATCGACTCTTTACGGGGTCGGTCAATGGAGCAAGACTTGCGAGTGGCACACTGGCTACTCAGAAGACCAACTCATGTAATGTTGTATTACTATTTTATTTTTTCAATTAATTCCTTATAATAATTATGTATAATTAAAATTAATACTCGATTATTTAAAATATCGCAGGGAATGCTTGGCTCTGGTGGTCGGTTTTCACGGAAAAGCGGCGAACGGAAAACTAACGGGGGTACACAGAAAGTACAACACATCGAAGTTCGGATACGCTGCGAAATGTGAGCCTGCACATTTTCTAGTACAAATGCACAGTTTATAACTAATTAACTACTTTATGTGATTTTGCTGTAATTTGGTGATGTTGTTGTTGTTGATGAAAATACACTAAAGAAAAAATTGGAGGGGGGGAAAATTGAATTAGGATTAATTAAAAACCAAAATAAGCAGTAAGAAGCAACTTTTGGTTGCCCCGGGGTGGGGTGGGTTTATTATTCTATTTTTTTTTTAAGAAAGTTACTTTACAATTGATTTACTTACTTGTAATGAAATAAGGACATATATTTGTTATTTGGGAAAAAAACATTTTTCCCCATGTAATTTCTAATATAATTTTCTCTTTCTTTGTTTGTCTCTTTTATTTATTTGTTGGAACTCTTTATTGCATGGTTTTTTTTTTCCTCCGGTTTATGAAATTGATTACAACTCACTTGTTCCATAGTAGGTGTGTCTTTTCAAAAATATTATTGTTCCATATTCACTGTCATTTTAGATTTACAGTACTCATTAAATATATGTTTTCGTGTTTTAATTTTATTGGGTTAAATACACTTTGCACCTCTAAAATATAGGCCTACGTAACACTTGCCCTCTAAATATCATTTGTAACATTTATCCCCTCAACATTAATTATTTTATATTTTAAAATTTAAAAACTAATAAACATAACAATATAATAATTATTGGATTATAAAAAATTGAGAAGTAATTAAAAAATTAAATTCTTTGAAAAAATAAAAAGTAATTTAATTATATAATAATGAATGAAATATGATTTATGAAATTAATGAACTAAGATATATTTGAAATTAAATTGATTATATTCGATATGAATATATTCGATTACTTGTTCCAATAACAATTACATGTTATTTATTAAATATGTACCCGATACAAGATAATTTTTATATTTTAAATATTGCATTTTTCAATAGATACTTTTATCCGTATAATTTAGTTGTTTTTTTAGTTATTTTTTTAAATAAAAAAGAAAAGTTTAATTTATTAGGATTTAAAATACAAGTTAAATTAATCTTAAGAGAGATAAGTGTTACAAATGATACTTTAAGAAGTAAATGTTACAGATAGTATACTTTAGGGGTGTAAACTGTATTTAACCCAATCTTATTATATCAACTATAAGGATTAATTCTCTCTCATAAATCATTAAATAATAAATGTTATTTTAGTTATTTATGTCCTTTCTTTAATATCGTGACATATGTATTGAATTCATAAAATCTTAGATCATAGTTGTGTGCATATTCCGTATAATTTTGATGCTTATAATCTATTTGCGAAGGTGTGTGTATATCGGTACTATTTGATAAACTCTTTGTAGAAAATAGATTAAATTCCACTTTTCTCCTCGTACTTTGAGTCGATATCACTTTACCCTCTTCTATTCTCGATTGTATCGATTCGCCCCCTTGCAAAAAAATTGTCTCAATATGATCCTTGCTGTTAGTTGTTGGACATTTAATCTTTACTCCGTTTGGTCTAAGCTCAGAAATTACAAAAACGCCACCGATCTCAGTCTAAAGAATTATTAGAAAAGCAAAAAAAAAAATTAAAAAAATCAAAACAACGAAAAAGCATATTCCACGATGGCAACCACAATTTTTTTTTTTTTTTTCTTTTATGATTATTTAAACTGGGAAGAGTGACTTTATTGTAATTTTCAGACCTTAAATCAAAAAATGTTAAGATCAAAGGTGTGAAAATTAATGGCGATGACCACATTGAGATAATTTTTCAAGTACTGGGATAAACCGATGCAATCGAGAGTAGAAGGGGGAAAATTGAATTTACCCTAGAAAATAGGGTAAAATGCCTTTTCGTCCGTGACCTTTAGAGTCAAAATCAAAATAGTCCCTATGTTCCTAATTTTGTTCAATATCATCCTTTGGACATAATTTCACCGCCAAAATAGAGCATAGTTTACATAATGCCCACACTACCCTTCAAAACCTTAGGGGATGAAAATGAAATGCACATAATTTTGTGCTATACACAGTCTATGTTTGTTTGTTTTTGCAATTTGTTTTTAAATCAATTTTTTTTGACCAATTTCAAATTTATAGTATTTCATGCAAAGTTTTTAGCAATCGTTAATATTTAGCTAATAAAACATACACATGATCAAAACTTTATTTAATATTTGTGTGAAACCTACCTATTTTTCACGAAATTTTGGAAATACTTAGTTTATAAATCAAATCTAAAATGTATATATATTGTGTGAAGCTCAAAAATATAGTAATATTCTTGTTAAAGTATTAAACATAAATGCTATAATTATTTGGGTGCAAATTTTCTAAAATATAGTGTTTTGCCAAGTTCCTGGATATCTATTTGTAATGAATATGTATGAGATATATATGATTTATTAATTATAGTGTTTAAATAAGTATTATAATTTTTAAATTGTCAAATTAGATATATTTCATTTTCGTCCCAAATGTTTTGAAGGATGACATTGAAGCAAATTAGAACCTGAGGGACTAATTTGATTTTGACTGCAAAGCTCAGGGATGAAAATATGATTTTGCATTTAAAGATGTGGAATAACAAAATCCAATCAACTTTTGATAAAAATATATTATAAAAAAAAATTAAAAATTAAAAAAATAATATAATAATAAATAAATAAATTGGGATTAAGATCATGATATGGTAGGTGGGTCATTTGATATGTATCCCTTTCAAATTGTTGTAAGAAAAATGGTTTAGATCTACAATTCACTGTCCACGAAGGTACGAATTCCATGTCTATAAGCTGTGGTCCCAACTCCCAACCTATAGTAAAGGTGTATCTATTTGTATTATTTATTTTTTTAATAAAGTATTCTAACTTAATTTCAAAATAAATAAAAAATCACGTCCAATGCGATCTTATAATCCTACTTTTGATGGTATTGTATGTGATATGTAATATATTTAACAATGTTCTTCTATCAGTGCGTATTCTTATATATATCGGTGAAATCGGAAGAATTGAATCGGATTTAGGTCTTTTGAACAAAAAAATCGAAGGGATGAACTAAATCCAATTGGATTTTAAAAAATAATCGTATATCATGATTTCACAAATTGGAATGCGTAAACTTGTTCCAAAATGGAATTTTTTTTAATCAAAATAGGCGAAATTCCAGGTTTCTGTGTTTTAGTCAACTAGGTAGGTGGACGGGCGTTGCACGTCTCGTCTCGATGTTAATTTTTCTATATCTTTGAAGTGCTTGCTTTTTTTATTTAAATTATATATGTAGATATTTCATGATGATAATTTGTACATTCTTTATCTCCGACTCCGACTAGCTTCTTTTTTTTTCCCCAATTCCAGCAATATATATTTTTTTCTTTCTCACAAAGAATCAATATCTTCCTCTCTTCCGTTGAAGAGTGTCGTCATGCAATTTTGCACGATGAGATTAATCTTCATTTGTTCTTTGTATTGAGGAAATATTTTTTATATTTTAATTTCCTCTTTTGCTATCATTATTGATATATTGTCGTAAATATTCGAATGGATATCTTTCATATTGTAAAATATATAATATCTATAGTTTTTTAAAGAAATTAAGTATAATTCGACTCTAAATATATATTTAGAGCTTTTTAAATAAATTAAGTTTAATTTGCCTCTATAGAGAAGTCTTTATGATAATTGTCGTATGAAAATACTTTGATCATTTGTTAATAAATAATGATTAATTAATAATTTTACCATAGGACTTGTGAATGATTAATGAATCATAATATTTTTATTAAGGGAACTTTTTTATATTCTGATTTCTGTTCTAAAATGGCCTATTTATCTAGCTCTTTGGTTTGTGTTTATGGAAATTTATAAGAATGTAAATAACAAGACAAGAAGAGAAAGAGAGAATGCAAAGAATAACAATTCGTAGAAAGAAAATTGTGGGATATGTGGGGAGGGAGTGTTTCTCATTTATATAGGTGGTAACCACCGGAAAGTTATAAAGGAGTTGCATGTGGAAGTTACATAGAAGTTAAATCGCCACTAACACCATATAATAGATATGGGAAGTTAATAAACTAGTGGGAAGTTGAAAACCATCAAGTGGTTATGTTAGGAAACCACACATTCCATACTATTTACAACACTCCCCCTTGGGTTCCTATCAAACCACTATGTGCTTTTTGTGTTGCCTCGTTAAAACCTTCCGAGTCATAAAATCCATTGGGAAAAAACAATATCGGTTAAGGAAAAGAATACAACGCACAATCTTTTCAATCAACAAATGTTGCCTCATTAAAACCTTGTAGAGTAAATAAAACCCTGTGGGAAAAATAAATCTCGCACGAAGGAAAAAGAGTACAACAGGGTACCCCGCTATCTTCTGGATACTGAGTACCTACAAGGTACTCCCCCTCAAGTTAACCCCTGATGTCTACAAGGGAGCGAGCTCGTATAATCTACGCAAGTCAATAGCCTTAACATGGGTTTTCAAAGTAATTTCAGGCGAAGACTTAGTAAATCAGTTTGCGTAATTATCTTGAATCATGGTCTGCTGGATCATTATTGTTTGAGCTCTTATTATCGTTGATGAAAGAAAACCTCATAACTATGTTCTCTGATTTGTCACAATTTATGAAGCCCATCTTCATTTGCTCAATGCATGTTGCATTATAGTCAAATACAATCTCTTAGAATCTTCTGTGTTAACTAAATCACAGGAATCTCGAACATGCCTAATGATGGCTTCAGGCCATGTGCATTCACTCACTATCTCGTGAAGCAAACATCATGCATGATTTGTTCTAGTGACAACCAAGGTACATTTCATAGAACCCCAAGACATAGCTATTTTCCCAATACTAAACCATGGATTGCGAACGAGCTTTGTATCGATATGACTTCTAGTTAATGCCAATATAAACCACAAGTTTCGCCAAATTCATTCATGCATAGAGCGTGTCGGTAAGGATGTCGGTTCGAACCAACTCATAGCATAGGCCGGAATAACTTGTAGCACCGCCGAAATTAAAATTTCCTTGTCCCCCTTGGATAACCATTTATCATTGCATCCATTAAGCCTCTTGCACACTTTTATTTTTTATGTTGTTAAATATCGTTTTCTTTGATTTCCCAATAGCAGTCGGTAAACTCAAGTACTTATCGTGCTTCACTCTTTGATGATTTGTTATATACAATACTCGCTTTTTGGAAACTAACCATTTGTCCCGATGCTTTCTCATAAACATCTATGATATAATTCATAAATTATGTTGTTTGCTTGTTTGTATTACAAAAGATGCATGTGTCGTCAACAAATAATGAATTGTGACATAGGTGGAGTCCCATGATGATATGCCTAATTGGGCCAGCGAAATGGGCATACAATGTTTTTACCTATTGGGCCATGAACCCGATTTTGAAGACCACTACTACGAAAGCCTAATCACTTTCAAATAACGTTTGAGCCCGACAAATTAACTTCAGCCCAATTAATAAGGTATAAATAAGGATTTAATTCATTTGTTACGGTACGTTCTATATTTTAGCAATTCAACTGCTCATATTCTCTCGACAACATCTACAATCTATACGTCTGACTTGAGGGTCGGAGGAGTTTCCACCGGATCAACCCCGACTTAGTTTACGTGTATTCTGATCGCAGGTATCTCATGATCATCTAGCTCGTGAGTCAGTGACTCTCTTGCTCTTTTAGCTCATCCTATCGCAACTAATCTAGGTGATCTATCTTTAGCATCATCACATTGCAAACCGATAAACCATTTATAATTTCACTTGTTTCCTCCCTTTTAAACAATGCATTAATTGTTTCCGTGCAAAAAATAAAAAAAATAAGCCAAGTGTTGGAAATCGATGCATGTAACACAACGGAAACTTAAGTTTTTTTTTTAAAAGTAATAACATTTATGGTAAATAGCACTTAACCCCTATGTGGTGACAAATTTTTGCAGATGATCTTCTTGTGCTCGTAATATTAGCACATAACCCCATTGTGCTCGTAATATTAGCACATAATCCCTTTGTGGTTTATGGGGTAGTTGCCGTTAATATTTCTGTCAAACTTAATTGTGTTTGTCAAAGGTCAAAGGATTTTTTTTGCAGATGACCCCTTGAAGTTTGACACAAGCGATTAAGTGTGACGGAAACTAACGGCCAAGGGCGGACCGTGGGACATTTAGATGGAGGGCTGAACATCCGATCAAAATAGTAAAAATATATTTTAAAAAAAAACCAGCAAGTAAAAAAATTTAGCTTATTTATTTTTTAAATTTATATAAATATTAATGTTGATGGTTTAAAAAAAATTCAATCATTTAAATTGTAACTAAAACCATCAGCTATTGAGCCCGTACTAAAAACATAAAAAATAGAATTAATTTACTCAATTTGGTCATAATTAGTAAAGAGATTGTGTAAATTTTTGCTGAATTTGAATTTTATCTAATTATTTTGTTCTGAAACCATGAAACCATTAATGATTTTGTTCTGAAACCATGAAACCATCAATCTGTAGAAATTGGATGAGCAATTTTTTGTTAATTCCACATTGAGTAATCTTTAAAAGCCCGAAAGCCCAAAAACACATAGAAACCTTATACAACATCCTAATTTAGTGCAGCCGAAATTAATATTTTATATATATATATATATATATATATATATATATATATATATATATATATATATATATATATATATATATATATATATATATATATATATATATATATATATCTATATATATATATATATATATATACATATATATATATATATATATATATATATATGTATATATATATATATATATATATATATATATATATATATATATATATATATATATAGATATATATATATATATATATATAGATATATATATATATATACATATATATATATATATATATATATATATATATATATATATATATATATATATATATATATATATATATATATATATATATATATATATATGGGACGGTTAAAACAAATACCATTTCTTTCTAACTTCAATACCACCAACATAAAAAATCGAAAATAAATAGGTAATGACATTAATACCTTTGATAAAATCAATACCACACAAATTTTGTGTGTGGTATTAATTTTCATTAAGAGTAATAATGTCATTACCTATTTATTATCTATTTATTTTTTATTTTTTTATGTTCGTGGTATTGAAGTAAGAAAAAAACGGTTTTTGTTTTAGCCGCTCCCATATATATATTTAATGGGAAATTTTGAAAATCTTGGGGGCAACAGCCCCACCTTGACATACTTACCATCCGCCCTTGCTAACGGCAACTACTCCATAAACCACAAGGGGGTTATGTGTTGATATTACAAACACAATGGGATCATCTGCAAAAGCTTGTAACCACGGGGGTTATGTGCTATTTACCCTAACATTTATCAAATCAACGTGCATAAATAATTAATTGCATATATTGAAATCAACGTCAGAATGCTCGAGCTAGAGCTCGAAAAACTCGAGTTCAAGCTTTTTTGAGCTGGCTCATCGAGCTCACAAGTCGGCTCAACTTGTTTTACCATCCCTAGTAGCAAGTAACGACCACGTACGACAAGAGCTCCCGCCCGCTGTAGTTAGTTTGTTTTTCTTTACCGATTTTATTACAAATGACAAGTTTTCACTCCAAAAAAATCATATGACAAACACCGTGTAACCGATGATTTTTAATTTGGGATCTGTCAATATAATAATCCATAACTTCAAAAAAATAATATATAGTAACGACTTTCAAGATTGAATACTTCATAAGTGGCAAAAATAGTGCATATTATATAGTTTATTTTTTAATATAATAAGTAAAATATTAAATAATTGACGACTTTTGGCTTCCAAGAACGCTTTATGTCACTCACCAAACCCCGGGACCCTCCTGCAGTATGCATTTCGCTACCAAACTTTTTTTATCATCATCTGGCATTAGCAATTTGCCTTGGAATATCCCTTTCTCTGTTCGATTTTCACAAAAAAGAAAAAATAAAAAAAATAAAGGGTATAATTCATTTTGCACCCCTTTACTATGTGAATGTATCATTTACCCCATATGTATAGAAAACATCAAGCACTCCCTCCGGTTAACCTTTTTACTGATTCCGTTAGTCAAATCCTTTGACCGACTATTTCAGAGAGTTATCTCAGTATTTTTTTCCACTTTATTCAATCATTTTTTTTACATCTTTACACGCCTTTTTTCTTTCGTTTCTTCGTAACAAAACTAAAAAAATGAATCAATAAAAATGAAGCTTTGCAAATTATGAATGAAAAAATCCACAAACATGAAAACTAAAATCCCTAACATCTTAAAGAAACCGTAAAACTAAAATGAAACCCTAATTTAAAAGAACTGAAAATTAAAAACAAAGCTTTTCATATTATAATCGCATAACCCTCAAAAAAAGTAAACTGAAAAATCAAACACTAAAACGGTCAACAATCATAGAAAGTGAAACAATCTAGAAAAAAATTAGGGGATTCCATCAGACATAAAGCAGGATAAAAGAGTAATTGCTCCCTCAAATTTAACACCGGTTAAAAGTTTGACCATTGACCATAAAAAATAAGGGAGTATTTGATGTTTTCTATACATCAATAGGATAAATAATACATTTCGTATAATACAGGGGTGCAAAATAATCACAATTCACTCACCCCACCCCCACCCCCACCCCACCCACCAACTAATTGTGGGACTATATTAATATTGCTATCAGACATAATTGGAAAAAAAAACACACACACACACACACTCAGATCTCCATCTTCGCTAACCTGAACCAAGGAAAAAAAAAAAAGAGGCGAAATGACGATTTCAATGTCCGCCGCCGCCGCCACCAACGCCGTCGCACTCCACCACCTCAAACCCTCCGCAAATCAAATCGCCGCCTTCCCCACCACCCTCTCACGTCAATCCACCTCCACCACCAGACCCATCTCCATCACCAGCTCGTCCACCGCATTCCAAACCACCTCACCGCCGCCCACCGTCGCCTCCGCCAGCGATCGCGTCTTCAACTTCGCCGCCGGCCCCGCCACCCTCCCGGAGAACGTCCTCCTGAAGGCCCAATCCGAGCTGTACAACTGGCGCGGCTCCGGCATGTCCGTCATGGAGATGAGCCACCGCGGCAAGGAATTCCTCTCCATCATCCAGAAAGCCGAATCAGATCTCCGATCCCTCCTCAACATCCCCTCCGAATACTCCGTCCTCTTCCTCCAAGGCGGCGCCACCACCCAGTTCGCCTCCATCCCGCTCAACCTCTGCAAACCCGACGACGCCGTCGACTACGTCGTCACCGGATCCTGGAGCGACAAGGCCTTCAAAGAAGCCGCCAAATACTGCAAACCCAAATCGATCTGGAGCGGCAAATCCGACAAATACACCAACATTCCAGCCTTCGAAACCCTAGACCAAACCCCGCACGCCAAGTATTTGCATATATGCGCCAACGAAACAATCCACGGTGTCGAATTCAAAGACTACCCGAAACCCGCCGCCGAAAACGAGGTCCTTATTGCTGACATGTCATCGAACTTCTGCTCGAAACCCGTCGACGTTTCCAAATTCGGTCTGATCTACGCCGGAGCGCAGAAGAACGTCGGCCCCTCCGGCGTCACGATCGCGATAATCCGATCCGATTTGATCGGAAACTGCCAGCCCGTCACTCCCGTGATGCTCGACTACAAGATCCACGCAGACAACGACTCACTGTACAACACGCCGCCGTGCTACGGTATCTACATGTGCGGGCTCGTGTTCGAGGACCTTCTCGCGCAGGGCGGGCTGAACGAGGTTGAGCAGAAGAATCTTAACAAGGCAGGGATTCTGTACGACGCCATCGACGGCAGCAAAGGGTTCTACAGGTGCCCCGTCGAGAAGAGCGTGAGGTCGCTGATGAACGTGCCGTTCACTCTGGCGAAACCCGAGCTGGAGGCCGAGTTTATTAAGGAGGCGGCGAAAGAGAAGATGGTGCAGCTCAAGGGGCATCGGTCTGTCGGCGGTATGAGGGCTTCGATTTACAATGCCATGCCGTTGGCTGGTGTCGAGAAGCTCGTTGCTTTCATGGCGGATTTCCAGGCGAGGCACGACGCTTGAAATAACGGTACTCGTGTTCGTTTTAATTAATGGCATCATTATTGATATTGTAGTTTATCGTTCGGTTTTTATGATCGGTGTTGTTTGTTCTGGAATTTTGTTTTCTTGATTTATGTTTTTGAGGGTTTTTTAGCGAAATGTTAGGAGGTGCTGCTGCTGGTACTGGTATTGTTGTTGGTTCGTTTTTTACGGAATATAAAATGTTTGAATGGTGAGAGTTTATGTTGTGAATATTTGTTGTTGTTGCCTTCCATCACGCAATCAGTTTTCGTTATTTTAGGAAAAAAAAAATGAATTCCCGGGGATTTTGCTTAGTCCCGTGTCGATTAAATCTAAATCCGCAACTTATTATAGACTTTCAAATGTGATTCCCACCTTTGAAATTACATATAGCTGATGCCTTTAGAAAGTGCTGGAGATTTACGAAAATGTATGCGCTCGAGAAAGACATAGTTACATATTTGCTCGCGATTCTGTACGTGTAACATAGAGGAGCGCATTAAGGCCTCACATTTTTTTTTATTGAAGTTGTGGTTCACTCTATCGTTGATTGCTTGTGACTAATTTCTTCACTATTTTGCCGTATGTGGTGAGTTTTTGGTATTGAAATGAAATAGCGTTTGTTGGACCCGTGGCAGTAGTTTTTCCGATAACTGATAGATTAATTTCTTGAAAGTTAAGACTTTGTGATAGCCTTGCTTGCATTTATTCCTTAGTGCTATTTTGTATCACTCTAAAGCTTATTTACCAGTTTGTTACAATGTACTGTAAAATTCGTGAAACGAGGGCATTTAGTTATAAGTAAACCGCGGAATCCATTCGTTAAGGCTGTGCCTTAGAGTACTGCATCCTCTCATTCTGTTTTTTTCCTTCTTTTTAAATAGAGAATCTTCGTGAGTCGTTTTTATAGAAATATTGTTTTTAGGGCAAATTGTGATGAACTGTTAGAAATGTCATCATTATTGAGAGGCGATACTATCAAAAGGCTTCATTCCTGACATTAAAAGAAAAAAAAAAGGGTAAATTATGAAAAAAAATCCTGAACATAGGCTAATTTACGAAAAACAATCTATCCGTAACTATCAAAATTTCCCTGATGTTTGTTTCAATCTTACACAGACCCCCTTACAGTGTGATTTTTCACGTAATCTTTCCAATTCTACCCCTGCAAACGTGGCATTTCTCTATATATATTCAATAAAAAAATTCAATAATCGACGTAGCGAAACAATCAAAAAAATGTAAGAATTACCTCCGATCTGTTATCGTCTCGGTGGGGCTCTGAAATCGAAGTTAGAAAGCTTGAGAAAGTTTTTGTGGAAATTTACCTTTTGATTTTTCAAGAATGGTAAAAAAAGTGCCTACACACTTCAATTGTGCCTGCACAAATCATTTCAGTTTGCACTTCTATGGTTTAAACCTTCTGCTGTCTCAAAAGTGGTTACATATCAGGAACTCAAGGCACACCAATTGCAGCACAATGTACAACCGAATAAAGCACCTATACATAATTTCACTTCAACTGAAAAGAATTATATGGTTTGTTGGCTACACAGAGTTTAACCTTATACATGAACATTTACTTATCATAGTTAAACATTCCACAATTTTAACAGATTGCTAACATGGGGGTTCAATTGAAATTTTCTACAAAAGAGTGGTTTTTTTTTTAAATTACACCAGACATTAGGGCTGGTAATCACATTTTACCATACATACATATACGAACATAATAATTAAAAAAACAATTAAAACTGCAATATTAGCAAACAAACGAGAAAAATCTTATTTTCGACACCGGAATATGGTAACTTCCAATAGGAGCCGAGTAGTGTTGATTACTTGAAAGATGCAAACATCCCCGACTTTAAGTCTGTTATCCTTCACGAAATTCCTCCACCCGCTGTTGATTTTCGCGCTTAGTTTGTATATTGTGCACTTCACTGGCCATGTTTTTCCATTCAACACACGAAGCTTTAAGTTTCTCGTCATCGCATCCGACAAATTCCCTTTCGCGATCGACAGCGGTATACTCTGTTTCATCATGTCATGTTTCAAAAAAAAAAAAAATTTAACCCAATTTAAAATATAATTATCTGAAAAAATAAGGGTAAATTACGAATTGAACTTAGGCTAAATAACGAAAAATAACCCTCCTTTCGTAATTGCCAAAAACCCCTGAGGTTTGTTTTCGTCTTACACCAACCCCTTATACGTGACTTTTCACGGATTTCAGATATTTTCTTTTCTCTCACCTATTTAGGTGAGACTGTACACATTTTCTGTTAAAAAACTCGATCAACAGATAATCAGAGGAGAATTTTGGTTATTACGAATAGGTGAGGGTGTTTTTCGTTATTTAACCTAAGTTCAGGGGGGGTTCTTTAATTACCAAATCGTCTGCTCGAATAACAGAAGATGGATGCATCAGAGAGATGAAGTACGGCATTGTCGACGGATTATTGTCCTTGTAACGTTTCGCCATTTCGTACGCCGCACTTGTTTTCTTCTTCAAAGCTGTCTTCCCTCTCCAACTTTCTGCACCAACTAAAAAAAAGTTCAATTCTTGAACAAGAAAATGCAAAAATGACGAAGGGTCAACGAATAACGGCTACGATAGAAAAACCTTTAGAATCATTCGAATCACAACCCGAAGTGCTGCCGATGATATCGACAGAAGCATCACATTCGTTTTCATCCGAACCCAATTCATCTTGAATTTTCCGTTTCCCTTTGCCTTTCGTTTTCGTCAAAATTTGTTCGGATGATACGAACGAGTCACTAGATTTCGAACCAATGCCGCTATTACTAGCGCATTGAGAGGGATATTCTATCTCGGAAGCAGTCATATCGAATACGAGAACACGAAACTGGAAACTTCCTTGGTATTCGAATACCAACAAGTGCCCGAATTTTATCGAATAAAACTCGACGAACTCCTTCCAACCATTCTGCAGCCATATTTCACCGTCGGCGCGCGTTAATTCTACTCTCCATAATGAATCAGTTGGAACCTTGAGAGAGATGACGCTGCAGTTTCTGAGCAGAGTGTTCCCGTATCGTTTCACAAACTCTCTTGGGATTTTCTGCAAACACCTTGTAAGCATTAATAAAAAAACTTCATCTTTCTTGAAGAATGAATCAATGAAATTTTGATGAAAAGTGAGATACTTACTAGCTTATGGTCCGAAGGGTTCAACACGATCTTCATAAATTTTGGGTCTTTCTTGCTGAAGCAATTGGTAGCCATTTCTCTACTTGTTTTTTTTTTCTTTGAAGAATGTTTTTGTTTTGATATTTAAATTTGCATGAAATTGAAAACAGCAAATTTAGAGAGAGAGAGAGAGAGATGACGAGATCATAAGCGAATTATTACACGGGGCTCGAGGCGTGGGGAATAAAAAGTACTCATTGACAGGCATCATTTCAATCTTGGGAGTTGGGACAGTAAAATTAACAGACACACAGAAGAAATCTGACTATTCGCATACTATTTTCATTCCTCTTTTTATCTCTTCACATCCTACCTTTAATCAATTACCATATTTAATTCTTTTTTTTTTAAATATATATTTATATATTTATTTGTTTACTTACCACATATTTCTTATATCACATTTTTCTCAAATTAATTACTCTCTGTTTCATAATAATTGTCTTTTTAAAAAAATATTTTGTTCTATATTATCTGTCACTTTAGATTTTCGATACTGTATTAATTACTTAATTTCCAGTTGATACTCTTAGGGCTCGTTCGGTTACCGCTATAAGGTTCTACTGACTAAATAGTAGGGGCTAATAGCATGTTCGGTTGGCAAGATTCACACTTATTCGAAACCGCTACTAAAATCAAAGCCCGCTATTAGATGCTACTATTTCATTAAATTAGCAGCACCCCTCCCCCTGAGATTAATTTAATATGGGTGACTAAAAAGGAAGAAGACAGTTTTATCCTTAAAATCATATTTTATTATTGTAAACTAAGTGGTTTTATAGACAATTCATATATAATAACCGATTTTAACAAATTTAGTAGAAAATCTAATATAAGAAACCGAACATGCTACTAACTAATTAATTAATTAGTCAGTAGAGAGTTAATCCAATCTCATGTAATCCAATATAATCCAATATAGGTAACCGAACGAGCCCTTATAATCTTATTAACTTTTTCTAATACTCTTTTTTAATTCATTTTTTCTCTCTTATTAATTATAAGATAAGGTCATTTTAGTCTAAAATCATACATTTTTCATAAGAACAAGACACATTTACTGAAATTCTTAATCCATGTGCAAAGTTAAAAACGACTACTAAAAGGGAAGGAAGGGTGTATTTTGTTCCTACGGGATAAATTCGAGTTTAGGATGTCTAGACATGTGTTGATGTTCACTAGCTTAGGAAGTGTATTGTGTTGTCTGAATTCTCTAATAAGCAACAAACGAAAAAAATGTTTTGGTTATCATTTATGGTGATATTGCGAGTTTTCTGTATCCAATCTTTATATTCCAAATCACTACACAAAAACGTGGTCATCTGAGATGGTTCAGAAGAACCACAACTGTTATCTTTCGAAGGCATTGCTATGATACGAATTATTATTTAATAATTTATTTAATTATTAATTAGTTAGTATTTTATTATTAATTAATTATATTAGTATATTTATATGACCGTGAGTTAGGGTTAGGATATATATTAAGTATTTAATTAGTATAGGTAATTATCTTTCCTAGTTAGATTAGGATTCTAGGGTTTTATTATCTTTAAATAGTCGTCTTGTGCTAGGGTTTTATAAGGAAGAGAAATAATAAAAAATAGTTTTCTTACGTTCAGTAAAGAATTCTTATGATACACAAGAGATCGCATCAATTGGTATCAGAGCGAGGTTGCGATTAACACCAACGCTTCGTTAGCAAGGCAGAGATTATATCAAAGCTACGCTGGAGCAAAGTTGAGATTACATCAACACTTTGTGAAATTATGACGTCCGAGAGAAGACGGTTGGAGCGATTGGAAAAATCCGTAGAGAAATTACGGATCGATTTTCAGAAATTACTCGAACAAAGTCACAGACGACGTCAACGCCAACACAAAAGCCGAAGGGACCGCCGCCCATCACCGCCAATGCCACCGCTACCATTACCACCGCCGTTGCCGAGCCTATCGCCGAAGGGAGAGGAAGAGGACGACGATGATTTTTTCGAAGAGCCCCAATTTTTTGTGAGTTCGCCGAAAGAAGAATTATCGGATTCAGTTGAAGTAATTTGGGATGAAGACGAGAAATTAACCAATGAGGAGATTGAAGAATCACTCGCCTTAAGTGAAATAATTTGGAACGGGCACGAGAAGTTAAGTAACGAGGAGGACAAAGAATTAAAAAATATAGTAGAAGGATGCCACAACTTCCCAGAGAAAGGAAACGAAGAAGTGCTTGCGATTGCGAGTGAGCCAAATTCTATAAAGACGGTCGAAGAAAAAGTTACGGTGAATGTAAGGGAGAAGAAACTTGAAAAGACAATTGAGAAGGTTGATTTATCGGATAAGAGATTGAGAAATTTCGTTCGGGCAGATGGACTCATATTCGGAAAGGAGCTCGATTTTTCGTCATGTTTTTCGGATTCAATCGGAAAGCAATTCGATGGCGTCAAGCATAGGTGGAAACACAAAAAAAAAGAGAGACGATTATTGGGCAGAACCTTGAGGACAAGGTTCATTTCAAGAGGGGTGGTTTGATACGAATTATTATTTAATAATTTATTTAATTATTAATTAGTTAGTATTTTATTATTAATTAATTATATTAGTATATTTATATGACCGTGAGTTAGGGTTAGGATATATATTAAGTATTTAATTAGTATAGGTAATTATCTTTCCTAGTTAGATTAGGATTCTAGGGTTTTATTCTCTTTAAATAGTCGTATTGTGCTAGGGTTTTGGGAAGGAAGAGAAATAATAAAGAAGAGTTTTCTTACGTTCAGTAAAGAAATCTTATGATACTCAAGAGATCGCATCATGCTAATATAGGAATACTTTTTGCTGGAGTTTTTAAACCCTTTTCGACGTATTTTTCATTTTACCAACACTAGTAATGCACTCGTGCGATGCACATGACATCAATCATTGTAATAATGTATTTTAAATTTATGCTAATTGAGTAGAAATATACATGAACATATTCTATCACACGGCACATACAATGATTGGAATTATAAAAACACACATCTACATATTATGTATTGGAAAATACATATAAATACATTGTTTTAACTATAAGAGAAATAAACGTGTAAATCAATAATGATTTTCTCATCTATGTATTAAGACCATATCGATATCGCTCGCTCCAATTCGATTGCTTTTAGTAGGAACTTTCCAAACACGCATGACCCGAACAACCGTGAACTTTTCAGTCTAATCGACCTTGCATGATATCAATGAGATTTGTCGCTTTTGGCGCCATTCTGCATGAAACTCGATAACTATAAGCAGTGGTAAGGCCTAAGGCTGGGCTTAGACATATCGAGGGTTCTGAAGCAACGCCCCCGAGAAAAAAAATTGCTATGAAAAAAATTAAGATGGAAATTTGCTATGAAGAATCGGGTTGCTTGGTGTAGAAGATTATCATTGATTTTATTCTAGGTTTTTAATTTGTTAGAAAATTGTATATAGTCCGAATTTATAGAGATGTATTTAAGGACTTTATTTATTTCTATGTATTTGTATTAGATTAGGAAATATATTGTAAATATTATTCTTCCCTATCTAATTTAGGTTGTAGAGATCATGAATAACTCTATTTCCTTAGGATTGATTTCTTGATGTCAAGCTAGGTTTATGGAGCACAAATTTGTGCATATATATATACCTCATAATCTCAACGAAGAACCTTGCATATTTAATTGAAAAATCCCAGCATAAAGGCTTTGAATGGTGCAGTCTGAACGTCAGGTGTGGCAACAATGCGGATTTCTTCTACCAGACCATAAAAAAGACCGGCGTTTCGGGAGAAGTGCTTAAAAGATATCGGAAGAGGTCGATCAATTCAAGAGGGCGGATGGATGAACTAATGTGAAAGTCAACAAGTTCTAGTCGTGTGCAAGAATGGCGTATAACATAAAGAATGAATCTTTGTGCAAGAATGGCGTATAACATAAAGAATGAATCTTTAGTGTTTTTATTAAGTCATATTATTGTACGCTTAAATTTGAACTAGTGAAATCTTGTTTGCAGGTCCTCGTGGATGTAGGTACATTTGTATCCGAACCACATTAATATCGCGTGCCTTTTTATTCTACTTTTATAAGTTAGATTTTATAACAACACACAAAATACTGTTTCAACATCGTTAATGTCTTATCAATAATTTGTTTTAACAACAACCTGTCTTAGAATAATCTCTCTCAACAGAATGAATAGATTTTTATGGGCATATAAATCAACTGTTCTTATATTCACAACAATTGGTGGGGTGAGCGTCGATCGAAGAAAAATCAAGCAGAATATTCGAATTGGAGAAGTTCACCGCAAAAAAAGGATTTCAATATATGGCGGATTGAGATCAAGTCACTCCTTGTGTAACAAGAAGTTGCAGCTGCTCTGACCAAGGAAACCATGGTAGAAGTTGATGCCAGACGAGTTGCAGATATCTAGTCAAGGGCACATAGTGCTCTGGTTCTCAGTCTTGACAATGAGGTAAGATTGGTCTCTGAGTAAGCTACAATTCTTGCAGTTTGAGAAAAAAATAAGAGTCTTTACATGAAAGATCTATGCCAAATCGATTATATCTCAAGAAACAACTCTACACCTTGAAAATGGAAGATGTAAAACATTTGAGAAAACATCTTGATGATTACAATAAGATCATACTTGATCTCATAGGAGGTGAAAGTTGAGAAAGAAGATCAAGCAATCATACTCTTGAGATCTCTACCAAAAGTCTATGAGCACTTTGTTGATACAATGCTCTATGGAAAACAATCTTTGACCGTGACAGAAGTGAAGAGTACTTTGACCTCTAAAGATCTACAAAGAAGAACTGATTCCAAGGAAAGTCTTGGTGAAGGTCTTATGGTTAGAGAGGGATCTGAGAAGAGGGACTCAAACAAAGCAAGGTTAAAGTCCAGATCAAAGACAAGAAATGAAAATGCTGGAAATGCAAGATATAGGGGCACATTAGAAAGGAACTGCCAAGAAAGGAAGAAGTCTGATAATGACAAACATAGTGAAAACGGGAATCATCATTGCTTAAGATGGATATGATTCTGCCCACGTATTAGCAGTTACACTCATTGAAGACT